ATTTATTTATCTTCTGCGTCTTACCAAATAAAATACTTGCACTGGAGCACCTTATATACTGTATTATTTATTAATGTAAGAAAGCGTGGGTGTGCTTCCTCCCAAACCGACTCTAATTCTGTGGGAAATACTGTACCCTTTGCCTCCTTTCATCGCACTGTTCTTCAGTCTACTTCCCATTTATTTATTTTCTTTTGTAAGGACTTTTGCTCCAGAGGCAGTTTCAACCACGAAATCTTAAATAGGAGGATGAAAAGATGAAAAGAGGAGGAGGAAGAGAAGGAGGTGGAGGTGGAGGAGGAAGAGGAGAGGGCTTTAGCTCAAGGTCTGATCAGTGTGAACGCTACTGTGGGGACACACACAAACAAGCCCTCGTGAGTCATCTGCTTTGCTATGTGCAAACACAAAGACACCTCCGTCCACCTAATCGCAACTGCAAACATACCGGCGAGGGGAGAGGCTGGTGCAGTCGTAAAACGTAACAACGGAGCACAAAGATGCGCACACGTGCACATAAAACAATATGACAAAGTGGTACCACACGCGGGCTGATAGTGTTTGTTTATTACTGCATACATTAGTCAGGGCAGAGTAGCTTTACAAGCCCGGTGTGTATCCCCTGCGCAAGCCTAATACACCGTCTGTGAGTGTGTGTGTGTGTGTGTCACCCTGAGTAATCTTTCGCTAATAACCCGTAGTAGCTGGAGGTTACTCTTGGTCATGCGGGTCACACTCGCCGCAACAGCCAATCACGTTCATCCTCTGAAATGAGGATGTGAAAGGCAGTCGAATAGCCTTTGGCCTACACTCATATTTCTCAGTCTTGCAATTACTGCAAATAATTAGTTGAGCGACAAAGAATTACTTCTGCAAATATCGATGATCGCTTTGTCTTTTTAAGGAATACGTGAGGAAACTTTGCAGACGTGATGCTTCTCCAATATGATTTATTCAAAAGGTCAACTGTGGACAAAACATTCAAGCTACAAGTGGATGGAAAAACTAAGCTAAATGGATTTTTGAGGTTATTTATGGTCTGGACTTCTCTGTCACAGCATGTTTCCGTTCAGAGAAACCACTATTGCAGGCTCCTTTTCATTTTTAGTGTTGAGGCCGGTATTCCTACATTGGATTCAAATTGCCTCCATGTAATACAGCAACATTCATATTTTAAGAATTCTCTGTCACCGTCTTCAAAATGTACAGCTGGAAAAAAACACAACTTTATTTTAAAAAAGACAAAGTTTATCATAAACGCCTCCACAAAACAAGTCAAATTTTTCGCATTTCTGTGCCAAAATCTACATATCCCTGAGTGAAAGACCAACAAAAACAGAGCTGTCTTATAGGTAAGCGACTCCTGTTCTCCGCCCCGCGATGCTGCAAAGCCATTTGCATGTGTGGCATGAAATGAAACTGCAACTGCTAATATTCTTCCCCGACCTATTTCTTCAAACAAAGCACGTCTGTGCGGTCGCTCTAAAAACAGACACTGGTGGCTCCTCTGTTGTGTTCGTCGCTCAGGAGGTGTTTGTAAACCACACAAGCGGTTACCGTGGCAACCGTGCTTGTCAACAAAACAGCGAGGACTTAAATCTTAATGATTGGAACTTTAAGAAATAAAAAAAAAAAATGCCAACAGTCAACCAAAAATAAAACATAATATTATTGTTTTGGATTAATAAATCAGTTACATAAATTCACCACGTTACAGTGATCACACATGATATTTTCAAGTGTACATCCTCGTTAGTAACCAAAACTTGTTTGTGAGTCTTACCACAATGGCTAGACGTTCACCTGAGCATCTACCTATTAAGCCTAAAAGCTCTCAGCGATTCACAGCTGTGCAGGCTATACCTTCACTGCTACACTCGCCTATTTACATCTATAAGGGGACCCCGACATACTATAGCCACATGACACGTGAGTAGCTCATCCTATATCAGTGCTGTCCATCAAGCGTGAACGAAAGGGAAGGAGGGCAGCGGAGGCACTCAAACGGCGGCGTGCTGAAAACAAAAAGCTCGAGCACTCGCACAAGTAGGCCGCCTTCTGTGAAAGTGTATTTTCTGGGACATTAGTCAGTCGGCTTGGATAATAACCGCTTGTTAGACTGAAATGCCACAGTGTAGTGTTTCCGCTGTTGCGACTGATGCGAAGCTAGTTTCCTTTCACAGGTGCTCTCCCTCCAGTGTGCCGCATAAAAAACCCACGGAAGGACATCCTGTCGTCGCTATCATCCACGGTGCTTAGTTTCTGCAGAGACGCAGCTGGATGTAGAGAAACAGTCACCTGTGGAGCTGTTCTCAACTTCTACAAGTTTCATAAGAGGGATGGAGAGGGGGAGTGAGACGACCTTTATGTACCTCGTCTGCAGGTATAAGCCAGAGGGTTCTAACTTTTGTTTAGTTCACTTTCCTGCATTTGTAATGAAGCCAGAAGCGACAGATGGTCAGAGGGAAGGGGAAAAAAAAAACACATCAGGCTACTGCCATACTGAATAATAACTGAAACTAAGTATGCTGGCAGGTGCCATTGTAAGAGGGCAGAAACATTCAAATGTTTTAATCGGCCGCTAGGCGACTATTGCGTCATCTCTCCAAACAAACACGGCCTCCGGCGTCGCGCGATTGTTTTCATCGAGCCGACTCTTTTTCTATTTGATGTCAACCCTGAGGATGGAGCGGGGAAAGAAGAAGAGAGTACAAATATGATGAACTTTAATTAGAAACATTCGGCTGTGTTTTGTAGTTCGAGGCTAAACTCTGAGACACATGTGCACAAGTAGAGTCCCAGTAAACAAATCCTGACACAAGAATAACGGTAAGAACAAGAAGAATACACTCGCTTTTATATAACCCACTAATGCAACCCTTTGGGCGCTGTGCAGTTGGCTGAAGAATAAAAAAAAATAAGTCAGTTATGGCATGCATTCTTTCAACCCGACATCACATCCGGGCTCTCTTTTAAATGTCAGTTTGTGTTTGTGACATGATAAGTCATGTGCATCTTGTGATAGTCATTTAAGTGGTTGTAAACACCACTGAAATGGCAAGTACAAACAAAAACGAGCGATTCATGCTCTTGTCTGGGAACGGAGCGGATTCCTGCATTATCAGGCCAGAATTGCTCACGCACCGTCAGAAATGGATGCAAACAGGGGTTGTGAGGATAAACAACAGCAGACAGCGTGGCAATTACACGCTTCTTGTTGCCATCCAACCCTTCCCATCGTGCAGCGTCAGTCCCGCCCTGCTGCTATCATTCCACCATGCAGTTATATAAGCAAGGATATCAACAATCAATACCGGTCAGTCTGGCCTGTGGCTCATAAAACAGCGATTCAGATCAAGAGAGTAATCACATCTGACCTGTGTGGCAGCTGAACGAGGTATTAATAGGTGATAGTAAATCCTGTCCTCGATGATATAAGTGGGTTTGACAGCACCTTTCTGAATAGTAAACAGGCACAATATTACAGCTTTTCAAGTCATCCAGGTGCACTTTAGGAGGTTGAAGCTCATGTTTGGTGTCTGCAAATTTACTGTAACATGAAAGTCACCTAAAATATGAGTCGCAAACAAAATTAGCTGTCATTAAGCTCACCTTTCCAGCCTTCAGGTACACTTAAGGAGGTTTAAGCTAATGTTGGATGCCTGCAAGTTTGTTGCAGCAAAAAATGTACCTGACATCCTAGTTTTAAGCAAAATCAGCAAGTCGTCCTGGTTAAGCTGATGTTTGAGGCCTACATTTTAGCATAACAGTCACTTAAAATCTTAGATTTATACAAAACCTGATGTCATTATTTGCACCTTTCAAGTTGTTCAAGTACATTTAACCAGATTTAAGCTAATGTTTGATGCCTGTGTCTATTTTAGCATAAAATTCACTTGATATCTTAGTTTTAAACTAAATTAGCTGTCATTATTAGGGCTTGTCAAGTCCTTCAATACCCTTAAGGAGGTTTAAGCTAATGTTTGACACCTGTAAGTTTACTTGAACGCAAAAGTCACCTGAAATCTTTGTCTTAGCTGTCATTATTTGGGCTTGTCAAGTCATCCAGGTACACTTGAGGAGGTTTGAGCTAATATTTGATGCCAGTTGGTTTGTTTTAGCAGAAAAATCACTTGAAATCTGAGTTTTAAGTGTAATTAGCAGTCATTATTTGGGCTTTTCAAGTTGTTCATGTGCACTAAACTAAGTCTAAGCTAATGTTTGATGCCTGTATGTTTATTTTTGCAGAAAATGCACTCAAAATCTTAGTTTTAGCTGTCATTATTTGGGCTTGTCAAGTCATTCAGGTATGCTTGAGGAGGTTTAAACTCATGTTTGATGCCTGTGTGGTTATTTTAGCATAAAATTCACCTAAAATCTGAGTTTAGCTGTCGCTGTTTTGGCTTGTCAAGTCGTTCAGGTACACTTGAGGGGGTTTAAGCTAATGTTTGATGCATGCATATTTATTTTTCGCATAAAATTCACTGAAATCTTAGTTCCAACCAAAATTAGCAGTCATTTTTCAGGCTTTTCAAGTCGTTCACGTGCACTAAACAAAGTTTAAGCTAGTGTCTGGTGCCTGTGAGTGTATTTTAACATAAGAATCACTTAAAACCTTAGTTTAAATAACAGCAGCTGTCATTATTCGGTGACAGCGGGTGGTTGTGGATTAAAAACACAGAAATGTTCCTTAAAAAAGCAGCAGAGGATGTTGTCACGGTGTTTTTTGAACTGTATCGACGACCGTTAGTCTCAGCTAGGCCAACCTGAACACAAATGTGTCCGTTACACTTTCTGCAACCGTTAAATTAACGGCTACAGTTTGAATGTAGGGCCTCGAATTAACGCTCCGACATTTTTTTTTTTTTTTTTTAACTGCAACATTGGGGAGGAGGGGGCACACGAAATGGAAACCAAAATAATCCGCATTTTGGACGACACGGGAAAAATGAATGCCTTTTGGTGTTGTTAAAAATAAAATGAAATGAAATGAGCGTTCTTACCCAGCACGTAAATCGTAGCAAAGTTTCATGAACACTGAGATTGCCTCGAGTCCGCTTTATCCTTCAGTACACCTGCTGCTGCTCCAAATTAGCGCCAGTCTCACGGCGAAACCTGCTCGCTGGGTCCATCCATCCCGAACATATCGACTAAACGTCGTCTCCTGATGAACGCTGAGCGCTTTGGCAGGCGGACAAAAAATAAAGGGGGAGGTCGGGGGAAGGAAAAAAAAAAAAAAAAAAAACACCCGGAGAAAGAAATACCAGTTGCGTCCCCCTCCTCTCCGGAGAGAGCAGCCTGACCAGTAGCGGTGGCCCGGAGCTCCAGAAACTAGCCTTCCCCGGGTCTCTTGTTGATTTCGCAGAAACGGGCAGGCAGCAGGGCCGAGGATGTGTCGTCAGCGTGCGGCGCTGCTTTCTTAAAGGGGCCGCTGACGGCGAGCGACGCTCCGGAGGCGGCGGTCAGCAGAGACCCGGACGGCTCTCCCTACCACCGCCCCGTGGCTGCTGGATTAACAGGCAGCCACAGGGCGAGCAGTGGCCTCGTTAGGATGTAATTAAGCGTTGCTGTCAGTGTAGAAGCAGTTTATATTACTACCGAGGCTGGTGGTTCAGTAATTTAATATTCTGTCTGTCCTAATGAAGCTTACATAAAAATGCATAGACGGTAATTAATGTTATAAATATTTTAGGAAATTTTAATTATTTTTACAGACACGGTAACATTTACAGACATTTTAGTAATATTTTGTGACACTGTATAAATATTTTATTTTATTAATATTTTTGGCCAGTTTTGATATTTGACATGTGAATATTGCAAAAATATTTTATTAATATTTTTTCTTACATTTAAAAAATATTTTTCAGATATCATTTGAACATTTTGTCCCATTTTCTGTCATAATAATATTTTTAAACATTAAATCTATTTTTCAGACAATGTATTTACATTATTCTGATATTTTGCTTTTTTTTAACGTACCACGTATTTGCATTTTATCAATATTTGGGGGAATTTTATGAAATTTTTGCGTTTTATTAACATGTTAATATTTTAGTGACATTTTCAAAGTGTTTATCCAGTGAATTACGCTTTTGGACATTTCTCAAAAAGTAATATATAATATAGATATACTTTAATATAATATATTATAGTATATTTATATAAATTAATATTCATATATCTATTATATGTTATATTTAAGCATTTGTAATACTATTATTGGACATATTCATGTTATCTTTAAACATATTAATCTCTCTGATATTTTATCAATATTTTGGGGGGATTTAATTATATTTGGGGAAATGTTTTTAATGTTTAAAAGATAATAATATTATATATAATATTTACTTATATTCATTGGACACTTTCTCAATGTTTTTAGATATATGTGTAATTTTTATATTTGAATAGTATTTTGAATTTTGTAATAATAATGTTTGGATGTATTAATATTTGTCTGACATTTTAGTAATAAAGAAATCAAAATATGTAGTTTGGAGGTATATGGATGTAATATTTTGACAGCACAAAATAAAAATGAAGAAAAATACGGAATGTGAATGTTCTTCTTTTTTGACTTAGAGAAAAAATATCTCATTTCAGTTCTTATGGTTAGAAAAGGTTTAAATGTTTTCAAAAGTTTTTGAGTTGTTTTGTGTTATTTCACAAATTACATAAGTACTTCCAGGAAACACACAAGGAAGTTATCAGGATACTATAGATTATATTTGCTATGATATTTGGGGGAAAAAATATAATTGCATTTTTTTTCTGACAGTTTTAAAAGGCAAGCTTCAGTTCAATGTCCACTTTAATTTAAAACACGTGATGGAGCATTACCACATGAGAAACCATCAGAAGCGTGACTGTTGCACAAGGAGGACACCATGAATTTGTAAAACCGCTGACACAACGGTTTAAACCCTGGGTCGGACTTGTTGCGTAACGTGAATACTCTATTGTTACCTGTGGGCGGCTGTGGCTCATGTGATCTGAGCTGATCGTACGGTTGGCGGTTCGATCTCCTGTCCCTCCACAGTCGAAGTGTCTTTGGGCAAGACACTGAACCCGAACCCTCAGTTGCTCCCAATGGCAGGCAGCACCTTGCATGGCAGCTCTGTTGCCATTGGTGTATGAATGTGTGTGAATGGGTGAATGAGAAACACATTGTGAAGTGCTTTGAGTGCTACTAAGGAAGAAAAGCGTTATGTAAGTGCAGACAATTTACCATTTACCTCTGCTAATTGCATTGTTTCAAGTCACAGCTGTAAAATGATTAACTGTGCAGCTCTTCTAAATGTTGCTTGAAATCTGGCAAAGACACTGAAATCCAGTGGAACAGTACTGGATCTTAAAAATACTAAACTAAACTTCTTAGCTGTAGGTAATAAACTGCCCAAAGATTGCCAAACTGATTAAATTCCTTTAGTTTTTCTTACCTAATCTTCACTAAGCCACAATACGACATTTATGTTTGTCTAAAAAAGTGTATTTGTCACGTGTAAAGGCAGCCTCCTCTATCGCCTCTCCTCGGTTACAGGTTACCTGTTGTGGGTCGATGACTCAGGGAGGTGAATGAGTTCAGGTGAGCTGACTAGATGAATGAGTTTGAGAAGCTTTGCCCTTGTTTTTATCCAAAACACTTCACAATGTGTTTCTCATTCATACACCAACGGTGACAGAGCTGCCATGCAAGGTGCTGCCTGCCATTGGGAGCAAAGCAAAGCAAACTTCAGGTTCAGTATCTTCCCTTCAACTGTTGAGGGGCCGGGGATCAAACCGCCAACCTTGTGATTGGAGGACAACCCGCTCTACCACCTGAGCCGCAGCCGCCAGCTTTCTACCCATTCTGAGAAACATCCACTAACCTTTGCATGTTTGTCACGTCAGTTCCTGTGAGATTCTCCTCGTCGTTCTGCAAGCAACAGAATCCAACTCAGGAGTCTTCGCCGGCGCTCTTCCACCGTTTCAGCACTTCTGTCTCCAAGTGAAGCGGTGAAGTGGTCCTGGGTGGACGGATCGCTCCGGCAATCCTCTCGACGCTGCTTGAGTTCAGACGAGGAGAAGAGAAGAGGCCGTTTGAAGGAGCGAAGGGTGAAACGGATAGAAAGCGAGAGAGAAACGGGAGTCAACTGACTTCTGACCCCCGAGATGAGACCGAAGATTACAGGGAAGTAATCACATGTACTTTCTGTGTCTGCAGTCAGACTAGCAATGAGGATCACTGCCGTCCTTGTCCTCTCTAGAGTTTTGGCCTGGTTCTCACACAAAACCACAAACATATACTGTCTGTCAGCAGCCTACATAAGAGCTAAAGTGGATCAGACTTTGGATTGCTACCAGGATTTTCTCCACATTAATCAAGGCGGCTGTCTGTGTTTAAAACCTGACACAGGCAGGAGAAGTCATCCGTGTGTCTTACCGTCGTTCAGGTGCAGCTCTCTGATGTCGAGACATGTTTGTGTGGCTTCGGCTGCAACTGAAGACAAAGAGAGAGATAGCGTGTGATTAGATTACTTTAAATTTGTGTAGGCAAATGTGTCACGCGCTGATAGAGGAGCTTTTCTATTGGCAGTCCGTTTGTGCACACTTCACATGACAGGGTTTATTCAGTGTTTCTAAAGAACTGCCTGTAGCAGTGCTTATTATAGCTATAATTTCACATTATATATAGCTAATCGTTTTGCCTGATAGCTAAAGAATTGCTGGGAAACATTTGACCTTAACGTGCTCTTTAAGTCCATCCATCCATTATCTATGCACCGTTTAATCCTCACTAGGGTCATGGGGGGCTGGAGTCTATCCCAGCTGACTCAGGGTGAAGGCAGGAGACACCCTGGACAGGTCACCAGTCTATCACAGGGCTACACTTAGAGACAGACAACCAAGCACACTCACATTCACACCTACAGACAATTTAGAATCACCAATTAACCTCAACATGTTTTTGGACCTTGTGGGAGGAAGCCGGAGAACCTGGAGAGAACCCACGCTGCACGGGGAGAACATGCAATCTCCACGCAGAAAGATCCTGGGTGTCCTCACCGGGATGTGAACCGGACTTCGTTTTGGATTTAGCCTTTTATATGAGACACACAAGTACAACCAAATGTTATCCAATAAATTAACTGTGCAGTAAAGGTGTTAGATTGAAGTCGCACGATATTGAAGAGATGTTTCTACTCTGTTGAACTTGATTTGAGTCGAGTGATGTTTCTGGTGTTTTGTGTGTCCCTACACCCCAAACACCTCGACTATAGTGATCATAACCATCATGTATAAATCTTGGGCTAATTGTACATTAGCATGAACATATACAATATATGATAAGATATTGTGGCATTTTTTCATCGGTAACCAGTTTATCATGGAAATATTACATTCACTATGGAATCAATCACAAACTCCTTTTTGGTTTCGCTTACATAATCACTTCAAGGTAAAAATAAATCACCTAAACCAATCATTCGACATCCCTGTTTGCTCAAACATAACCATAATCTAGTTGCCCTTATTTCCATGTTTATACCTTAGGCCTCTTATCTCTTGCAGGTTATTTTAGCAGCAGCAGCTGCTGCATCATTGGAAGTGACCTTGCAAAACTTGATCTGTAAATACAGTAAGCTCCGATGGGAAACCACTCAGGGTTCGCATAGTCATCGGAGATTGTGTGGCGAACAAGAGGACTAATGCTCTTCGACGGGATTCCCCTCAGTCGCGCTTAACACACACTCTCGCGTACACAAACACAATGGTTCTGCCGCCTGTGATCCTCTTCAGATGTCTTCTAGCAAAAGTACTGCTGTTGAGATTTCCCAAATCCTCCCTCTGTGCCCATTTAGAAACGCTGTAATAAACCTCTTAATCCCAAACCAGCATTTTCTGGAGGGTTGCACAACCACGCGTGTCTTATGCAACTGCCAGAGCATTCAGAGTCAATTATAGAACAGTTGGGAGGAAGGGGAGGACGGATGACGAGGCTGCTGATGCAAAAAAACGCTTGTAGATAAGACGGTTGATGGAATACTAACATCTTTTTCTTTTGGCTTCATCTCAGCAAATTAATAATAAGATAGGAATTCACATGGGTGTAATTTTTAAACACAAACATCATAAAATATATAAGAAGGATTGCTTTTATCATTGTGGATTTCAAGGAACTATGTGCACCAGTCTTGATAGCGTTTGTATTAATATGTTTCTGAGAACTTTCCATTCACTCAACCACTAGTTCCACATTAAACCATAAGTGAGCACAATTTGTTCCTAAAGATGAT